CCCTATATAACTCTAACCAGTCTAAAATCTTGAAAATTCTACAAATAATATTTAGAAGCAGTGTGAATTCATGCGATTAATTAGTTAGCAGCTAGGGGAAGCATTGTTCATAGAGTTTTCAGAAAGATTAAAGGCCAATTAAAGCTATATAGGGGTGGTATTAACAAAAATAGGGGTGGCATTAACAAGTCTCTAAATATATTATGCAATGATAAATGAATGCGAACTTAAATATTTTAATTTTTCATTTAATAAGTCTTATTTCTAATTAAAATAGTAGAAAATATCTGCAAATTTAATTGAGTTGTTTACTCCAATACTTAGGGCATTTTTCAAGCACTTTTTCCCTTGACGGACTTGACAATGAATTTTGCTAGCCAGTTTGAACAGATAGACCAATCAGATTCTTGGTTAAGTCCATCGAGAGAAGTGTTTGAAAATGCTTTTAAGGTCTCTCTCAATGTGATCGGCTAGTGATAGAGATTGCACAAGTACCACGATTAATTGAAACAATCCTTATGGCAATTTTTGCTGAAAGTTTATGTTGCAAAATGTGAAATTTAAATTTTGTTTATTCGGCACAACTCAATGATAAAAAAAAAGGTCACTGACTATCTTTTTTTTTTATCGTGATATGTAATGAACTCACTTGATAAGCTGAACTATTCTCTACTAAATAAAATTGAGCTCTGAACTATATATTCATTTAGGCGCTTAAGAGCATCCTTAAACTAACAAATATTCTTCGAACTACTACTAAAATAAAAGAGAATAGAGTATTATTAGTGAAGATAGTTGCATTAAATATAATGGCTTATAAAATATTTTATAAAAAACACCCAAAACTCATATTTTTACAGAACATATAAACCTTTTGAATGTAAGCTGTAAAAAGGCCTTCGGGAATAAAATTTTAATAAAAGCCTTTAGAAATAAAAATATAGTAAATGTCTTCTAGAAAAGTTGTAATAAAGGCCTTCGAAAATTTTATTTTTTAGTAAATTAAATTTAAAGCCTTTGGGAATAATGTAATAAAGGCCCACTCTAATATTCAAAAAAATAAATTTTAATCCAAAATATATGTAAAGTTATAATTTAATATATGCAACTCCATAAACCAATCAAATTCGCTGTTTAATGATCGATTAGTTGATGAGTTGGATTGTAATCGATCATCCGAAATTTTGATGACGTTTCGATTGATTGGCTAATCAATCGATTGTCGATTCATATCACTAATCCCAACTATGGAAATATGTACAGTACACAAATGCTAACCGGCCAATCAAAATCGTATTTAAAAATTCAATAATAAAATAACCTTCCGTTTTGGATTGATGACATCTCATGTTATATCTTGTGTAACAATTTTTGATCATATGACATGCAATCAATTAAGTTGTGGGAAAATTAATCGTATGATCAGCTTGATTATTTTTTAAAAGCCTTTTCGTACGAACATATATACTTGTTAATTCGATTTTATCAGTTGAATAATGCCTGGTTCAGGCACCACCGAAGATACCTCAACTAGCAAGAGTGCTTCAAAACGCAGACATCATAAAAGATCAAAATGCACAAAATGATTCAGATAATCAAGAGCTTCTACCAACTGAATTGAAGGATTATTACAAAAAGCTAAGTCCAAAAATGAAGAGAAAATATAATGAGCTTTCAAATGAAGGAAAAATTGGTTTCTTAGAAGCGGTTAAGTTAGAACGTGAAAGAGGTGTAAGTTTACTTAAAATTCATATATTTTCATTGATTGTTTTTTATTTATTTATTTATTTATTATTTATTTTATTTATTTATTTATATTAAACCGGTGTTAGTTTTTTTACCGATATTTCTTTCCATATCTTTAGGAACTTGAAATAGGCTCAATATTCAATGTGATTTGCACACTCATTACTATTGCCATCACTGTCACC